AGCATATATGCTCCAAGTTAGAAAATGGTGCGAACACCCCATTTGGTGTAAAAGTTCCCAGTAAAATGCGTCATGGACGGCATGCCCTATATATCTGTCGAAGCACCGTTTCATTTATTAGCAGTATCCGTACCTTAACAGCACACAAAAAAGGGATGGATATCTATGCACAGAGGAACACTGCCCCACTGTTCATCCAGGCGCATAGCTTGCCCCTCTACTTATCAATGCTCAACATGACTGTAGACCACCTAAGGACATACATGCCTCCTTCTCAGCGGCTAGCTGTACCCCTACGAAAGGGGAATAACGGTATCTTGATAAGCGAAAGCTATAATCCAGGGAATTGACAAGAAAGACCTCAGAGGTGGGAATTTGGGCGGGCGCTTGATGGCCAATAAATAAAGTCATGTATCATACTCTATACTATCTTTTTCACCGTGGCTGGCAGCCTGCATGAGGATATGAGCATATTCATACGCCTACTTAAGGCTAATGCTATACCGGCTATCCGCCAATGCCCCGGCGTTTACACACCGAAAGTTTGCCGCCGAATGCGCGAGCCGATCCAGTGGTCCCCCCCCCTGCTCCCATATACTGTACCGTCATCAATGCCCATCTACTGCCCCGCTGGGATAAGGAAACATTTCACACTAATCGCATTGCGTAGTCTATGGGGGAGCCAAACCATCGGCTGTGCCATTCCAGGGATATCTCCTCACTCTCAACAGCCAACCCAGTGCCTATGTACAGTACAGTACAGTACAGCACAAGTTTCAGTACCAGAACCTGTCGCCAAGATACTTATCACAAAACTCTCTATTGTTAAAACGCCCGCACTTCCTGCAAGATATGTGTACAGCCCCTATTACCCACATCTTATTTCTTCAACCAGTTGGGGCATTTTTCCCTCAATTGTGCTCAAAAGCCATTCCATTTTTTAGGCTATCTTGGGTGGAAAAGAAACCGCTACCCCGTGAGTGCACCCCGGGCCTCCTTTAGGCATAACTCTATCCGGCAGCTCTATCAAGACTCCGCTGTATGACGGAACCAATAACACTCCAATTCAATAGGTTAAAAGCAATGACCATACCATCAGGAGGTTCTATCTAAGAGAACTCCAGAGACCCCAAAACCGAAGCATTATTCGAGTCCCAATGTTATGGAGCACTCTCTAAAGAAATATCGCACACAATATGCTTTGAAGATCCTCCTAGAAAAAAACTCAATTATGAAAATATGCAATATAGTGGGCGCCTCTTTCAACCTACCATCCGAATCACCCCTTAACCCCCCCCCCGCAAGTGCAATCAATGTTGTTTACACTCTATGCGCCATTTCTACCCTCATGCCTCGCGTAGCTGAAAACTATACTTTATAGAACTCCCATTCCCTCGTTAGCCGGACCAATGCTGACTACGAACAGCATATCAGGCTGAGCTCAATCAAGGGAAAGTATGTATAGAAGTACTCTTAGAGTACAGTATAACGCTTGTAGGGCGACCTGGACAAAAAATAATCATGCAAACCTTGCCCAAGCCGGTAGCAGCCATTACTTGTGCATTCCCGAGACTTTAGGTCCATCCCAACTGGGATCCACAGCGGGCACCCTAATCTCTGTTAAATTTGAAGGTTTCCCCCTCTACTCTCAAAAGGCCTATATCATCCCGAAAAAGGAGGCGTCCCAGGGAAAGTCTCCACACAAGTAGCTAGCCACAATCTGGTGTAAGGGATTCTCTGGAATTTCGGTTTTTTTTCCCCTCCTAATGGCACCTGTACCGGTGTTGTCCACAACCCCCACGACGTACCCTGGCCTCCGGAGCGATAGATCATGCGGCCCGAGCATAAGCGCCTAGGTCCCAGAAGAGTAAATCTAGATCACAGTCGCAAAATCCGCTGCAAGTGACTGCTCCAGTAGAAGCCGACTGAGCCCTAGCAAACGATGCCAACCTATCCACAGATGCCTCATCGGTCAATTAAGACTAGTTCTAACCCCGCTAGTGAAAGAGAGAGAAATGTACATCAGTATCATGCATTACTCCAACACTTGTACACCTTACCTTCATGAAATATTCCTTTCAATGAGTTCAAGCTCGCAGCATTTCAATAGCCCTAAGAGGAATGATTCTGACTTGCAACCAACCAGACCAAAATCCCGACCCCTAGGGGGCCTACCAGGGGCTCTCTACTCACATTAGTCGGACTCATCTTCCATTTAGTTATCACCCCACTAAGGGAATATTCCTGGTAGACCAGATTACTCCATGTGTGTAACACGTAGCTTTTCCCGCATTCAATACAGTACAAGTATAGCTATCGCCACACCAGAAGGTCCTAATAGTTCTAAGCAACTAAGCTAGCAACCAGGAAAGCTTCGCCGATGAAGTTTAAGCCACATAACAAGTCACCGGAAGCCTGCCGCGGCTGGGGCAGTAGCTCAAATCTCGACTATCAATAAACCCCTTGTCCCAGCAATTCCCAAAGCATCCTCCACAGTGACAGTAGTCGAGTATTGTGTAGCGCAGTGCAAATTTGAAGAAGAAGCCGATACGATAACCAAATAATCAATTGGCGCTATTAATACCCTAAACTCTCCGAAGTAACGAAGTAGTCAAGACTAATCGTGTAGCAGGCCTCAACCCCTTGAGCGGCCGCTACCGCTCCTTGAAAACTGGGGGAGAGAGTATATAGCCAAACATTTTTTGAGGCCCTCCCAGGCCATTCCAGACGCTAGAACCCACCAGGCACTCAGACCAAACCAGTTCGTTATTCACGTATTTACACGGATGCTGATTCAAGCAGGTTCTCTTCTGAATCCCTGAAACAGCTAAGATCCATCGCTGAGACCGTTCTAGATGAACTCCCCAGGCAGTAGATTTCCACTTTTTTAGATTTCACCCATCTGAGTGAGTATTTCTTTAACCTACAGAAGCAACACCCATTTATGTAATTTCCAAATACAGCCTCCTAGTGCACCAATGCAGCCAGAAGAATCTACGAGTAGAAAACTTGTCCCAAAGATCCACAACCAACAGCGGCTCTGCGGACGGCCGAGACTTCCGCGAATCATCTTGCCACCAAGACAAACATAATACTCCTATATCTTTCTAGGACCCCCCCCCCAAATTTTTGGTTGGACGCGCCTCCAGTGAAGGCCACCGCACTAGAGTACAGTATCGTAGCGTAGTTGCTGCGGAAATCGAGCACGCCAACCTGAAAAGAGTTGGGGCCTGTTTGGCGGGAACGGAACCGTTCCGTTCCCCCATACAAATGACCGTTTCCTTCCGTTCTGAAGATGCCAAGACAACCATTTCCCCAGCAAAAATCATCAACGAACGGAACGGTCGACCCACCTACCGTTCCCGCCAGACAGGCCCTTGGCTATCATGGAACGGCCTCATCGCATCGACCCCTAACCCTAAATTTTCCCTACCCACGGTGCTCCATTACCATCCCGATATGAGTCCCCATCCTCAATACGATACCAACCTTAAGCTAAGCTTCTTCAATCAACAGTATCCAAAGCTACAATAACATACCTATACTCGAGTGCAAGTAGTGCTAGATCCCTTATCCCACGATCCCGGCACCAAAACCAACGACATTGCGATAGATTAGTTCCCAACCCCCACACCACCCACCACAGCACCATCGCACATCCAGCAGTACTCGTACAGTATATACAGGTGAATGCCAATTCTCGCTGCACTACTTCCACCCCATCGGGTAAGGATAATACCCTCTATCATCACCAACACCACCCCGCGAACCTGATTATGTGGACCACGACGCAAATCGAACTCGCCCTCCCCGCATAAACCAACTCTAGCCTACCTCATCTTCCTCTCACTTCCCCTCGCCACCAACTCCTGCTCCCCAAAAAAAATCTCTGAACCAAGCCCCTCTGCCTACTTGCCATGTATTCGACCTTTGCCCATGGGATATAGCATGACTGCCTGCTCCGTCCCGGAAGATTACCTATGGTAGACGTCCCAAGCTTCATGTTCCCCCAGAGACTCCAATCGGTTAGCTGGGGCTGAGTTAGTACTCGGGCACGGTATCCCGAGCCAATTGGCTACCCAATGCAGATCCTACGAGCAGTAAAGTTATTACTGTGTGATACAGACAGAACCTCACGAAAACCCAATGCCCCACTTCCACAGATCTAACCGAGATTGTGACAACAAGCGGTCAAGTGTTGGCTTTTTAAAACCTGACCCTCTACGAGCTAATCCGGCACATTCGTCCACGGTGGCCAATTAGGATACAGCAGAGCCTGCCATCGACCTCCCCAAGTCAGACCATTCCAAAAGATCTACCAACAAGACCCTGGATTCCACAACACCGCACAATCAGGCATGGAATGTCCCCGCGCCAAAAAGTGCTTCTGTCAATGACGAAACATACCTTCAAAACCCCAACCTCTGAGTGCTCTACCGACTCGGGTCAAATCGAGAAAACAGACCCCAAGAATTCAGGGCCTGGGGGGATCGCAAGGAAGCGGCGGCCCCGAAGGGTCATTTACTCCTAATGGTAACTATCTTCCACCCCGGCCAGCCAGCGGTCCAAACAGAACTCGGTACAGTGCCTACCATACTCGTACCACCAAGGGGAATGTCGAAGGCTTTGGCAAAGAGAATTTCCATACCGAGTCCAACGTGAAGAGATTCACCACTACCATACCGTACCGGTATTTCTCTGCACATTTTCCCACTCCTGGCATCGGTAGCCTCTATCGCCGATCATTATCCGAGCCCTGAGGCTTACTGTCATCACTGCGGAATACATGCCCAATACTCATTATAGCATCCGCAAAGGAAGAATATTGTCGAACGGTACCGGCCCAGCACACGGGACTAACCCCGGACAGCCCAGTCATTTATGCGCAGTAGGTCCGACAAAGTCTATTACCACACCACACCCTGGTTGGTACAACACTTCCCAACACCGGTGAGCTCTTGAGCCTAGAGCCCTGGAGGGCGTGGGGTAAACAGAGCTCCCTCCTTTTCTAGTCAAGTGGAGCTACAAGTACCTCGGATGCGAAATCGATCCGGGCAAAAGCAGCGGTTCTATTAGAAGAGGGATCACCCCAAGGGGAGAGTTTGAACGCGCATAGTTTCTACCATACTTAGCAATCCATGGTGCGTTACCGTTGTCCTACTTTACCGAATCCGCAACTCGGATACGCACTCGAGTACTTGTACCCGAGCACCGGTACAAACTATTACTCGAGTATCTTGGACCACCGTCTATTGTACTATCCATCTCTTGCGGTATCGAGGACCCAATAGTCTCGCGCGGCAGAGATTACCGGTATCATCTCCTATTTTGAGCTGGAGAAAAGGCTGGGGCGCAAAAAATCTATGAAACAGGCGATGCTCCATTATGACGTGACCCCCTTCTGCAAGACCTTTCCGGATAAGGCTTCCACCTATAAGCACCCTCTTTCCACTCCCAAATTCAGACTCCCTCCCTTGGGATTTTTTTTAAAAAAAGGGCGCAACAGCCTGGACTTCTTGCCAATTTCCTCTCTCTTTAGTGTTAGGTGAGATGTCCGGCGACGATCCTCTTCTCGCTCAGTATCTTACAAATCGCTGTTCCAGGCAGGTACCAAGCCCTCTCGTGGACTCCTCCGAAATATCGTTATCAGAGGCACTCGTACGGCTTCTACCGAAACCAAAACAGCAAGGGCCCATTCACGATGAATCAAGAAAGCCTCACACCACGACAAACCGACCCTTAGAAGCTTCGCGTTCCCATCGATTGCCGCCATATTCTACCACAAGCTTAGCGATCGATAGATTCTTCGCGTGTCAATCCACCCTGCAACATCTATATTTTGCGGAGGAAGTTGAAACGAGGAATATGTTGAAGGAAGTCTATACCAATGAGTGCCAACTATTGACCCTGTGTGAGCTCTCCGCTACCGCCGCTGTAGGGTGCTTGTGGGCAGATAACATCCCAAAGGAGGCGCGCACAGCATTTTTTGATACGGTTAAGACTCATCTGGACCAATGCTTGGAGAAGGACGAATTGAGAGAGATGAAGATACTCGCTCTAGCGACGTTATATTCAATGTCAGAAAAGAAGGTGTCGAGCTGGGGATATGTTTGTATGCTTTCCAGGGAACTTCTCTCTTCATGATTGCAGATTAACACCGGCCGCAGGTAAGGGATTACAGATCGCCCATTCCAGAGACCTCCAACTCGACAAAATGCCAAGTTATATGACCGAGGCGGATTGGGTTGGATATCGAAGGTTATGGCGGACATTATTGTTTTTTGAGAGGTCAAATTAATCCCGCTTAATCTTTAGTCTCCGTGCTTATATCAGCAGCTTCCTGGCCATGTCCCTTGGCCGCATCCCCATTTGGAGTGCAACCTACGACACCATCGAACTTGCAGAATCGGTTCAGACCCCCGTGCCTATAGACCCCCATTGGCTACTGCTCACGGATACATAGGAAAGGAGTTACGACATCCGAAATTCATCACAAAGAAATTCCCTGCAGACAGAGATTGTGAATATCGGGCTATTGGCCAGCAGGATCCTCAAAAGCGTCTTTGCCTCACCCGCCATTAACCTACAACTTGTGTGCGATCACATGGCGAAGCTGAAGTTACGATACGACAATCTACCAGAGTCCATGAAACCAGGAAAATCAGAATTGGCTCCTGGAGAGTATCTGGCCGACACGTCACAGTTCACCCTTCATATGGTGTATCTAGGGACCGTGATACTCCTCACCCGGAGGGTGCTGGTAGAACTAGCAAGTGGAGCCGGAGGCGGCTCGTTCGAAGGAAGTAGCGGGGAAGCACTGGGGCTCGCACAAACATGCCTATCCGCAGGGAGGCAAACCTCGGAACTATTAGGGAATCTGTATTCACATAAAGACCTTTTCAAAAACTGCTGGGTGACCATGTGAGAAAACCATTCCACCCACACCCCTTTGAAACAAGCAAAAGGGAAATGACCCAAAAGTATGAAAACAAAAGCAAATAGCTATGATAACATCTAATGAAAAGCGGTGAGTTGAAATAGATACTCGTCGTTCAACGCTAGCCTCATCCTACTCTTTTACACTGCCCAAAGGAGGACGCTCGAGCAGCCTTATCCACAATATCGGGAAGATCTGGATGCGGCCGCGCGATGTACCCGCATAGTGGAATACTGCGCGGAGCACGACGACCTAGCAAACTGTTACCTCGGACTGCTGAAGCCCTTCAGACAAGCGGCCGGGGATGGCATCGATACGACATCCTACCGCACATCTTCGGACTCGAATGAGTCTCCCGAAACCAGCGACCCGTCTTCGGAAGATAGCAGTACATCCTCAGAGTCCTCGGGGGATGCAGAAATCGGCGCGTCGGCAAACCTGCCATTCCCGCCACCGCATCTCCACCCGCCCGCAACACCACCGCGAAGACCGCCGCCCATCCCCAGTACCAAGCGGCTTGAAACCTGGCTGCGGGGATCGCCGCGGAAATGGGCCTCGGGCGACCCTCCCCGCCAGTACGCAAGTCAGCGCCATAATTGCCCTTCTCCCCCTCCGAGGAACGCTTTGTCAACGAAAAAGCGACCTTGCAGCGTTCAGTCCGAGGAGCCATGCAAGAGACCTAAACTGTCACAACAGCAGTTGGAGGATCTTCTTAGGAGGGTTACTTGAAATGATCGCCGCGATATCTCTATTTCCTATTTCCTACTTCTCTCCCTCCCATTCCTTCCATTCTAATCCTCTAATTTTTTCAAATTTTTTTCAATTTTCCACTCCTTTTCCACTCCTTCTTTCTCGCCCTTCATTTCTCGATTTATCCCCCCCCTCCTGGACTCGAAATTACACCCTTGTAATTTGACATGTATTTAGAGATATCATACGATTTCTATTCCCCCCCCCCCCCAAAAAAAAAATTTGAAAAGCAAAGAACAGTCCAAGCCGCTCCTCATCCATTCGTCAATCCGGCCTGCACACCTCACCTCACCTCCAAACCGACTCGTATCATACCCAATTTATAATATATCTCCCGTGGCCGATCCAATCTTGCGCACCGTGCTCCCCCATTTCCCCCCCCCCGACCCACCCACCAACCAGCCTCTCGTGCCACGACCACGAGCAACCAGCACGCACACATCACACATCCAACAAAAAGAAAAAAAGAAGAAGAAAAAAAAATGCCCGCCCGCTCATAAATTACTCACCCACCCACACCGCAACCATACCGCCGATCATCCGCTCGCTCCGGCTGTTACATCCGATTGACCGATTGATTGATGCAATATCATAGCGCCCACTCCCCCCGCTAGCCGCCGCCAAATCTTCCCAGAAAGGAAAAAGAGCTGAGGGTAGGTGGGCTAACGTCATGGTCATGGAATGTCACTCGTGAGTCAGTCCGTGCCCAAAACTCCTTCGAGAGAGCGGGAAGGAGGGATAGACCTGGGGACCAGTGATCTTGTCGAGCGTAAGGTTGGGGTCGGAGGCGGTCGTAGTCGATAGCATTGTAGAGAGAGATTGTGTGTGTGTATGCAAGAGAAGCAATGTCTGGCCCGGATGAGAATCCCGAAACGAGTGTCATTACGATACTGTGCATCGGAGGGTATCATATTTTTAAGTCACGGCAGTGAGGATGGTGGTGGTATTATTATATGTCAAGTTTTGAGACTTTCGTCAGCACGGCAATCGCGGTGGATATGTACAGTACAGTGCCTGTGCCGCACATTGCGTCGGAAGGTTTAGTCTATTCGATTGTTGAAGTAGTGGCCCCTCCGCGTGCACTGCACGATAGCAAGAAGCTACAAAAGTTAGTGCGGGAAGAGCTCTATAAGCAGAACACGCCGTAGACTTGTGGCATAGCAAATATGACACGACACGGCCTAGTACTACGATAGGATGATTCATTGTTTTTCTCAACTCCGAGGACTATATTGCGTTGCACTACAGATTCTCGGAGTTATCCAAGGTGGTACACACATCTCGGAGTATCAACTCATGCGTCAAGCTCAGGCTATGGTATATCACCACAACCAATCTACAAAGATGGTGGTACAGTACACTCACTACCTACCAGAATAAAAGATTGTTAGGTAGGTAAATGCGGTGGTTTGCTCTCTCTCTCTCTCTCTCTCTCCTTCAACAACAAAACCAAAAAATTGGAGCGAAACCCCGATCGGCCGTGAGCCAGGTTCCGGGTGTTAGGCGGTAGTGATTCCCGCCGCCAATGATTCGATATCGACAATCTATGCAACTTTAGGTCAGCAATTTGCCATTACACAAAGGCAGGGTGGATGGGCGGTGTAGGAGGGAAAGAGGGGGCTGCGACTAACCTCTTTTACAGCTTCAACGCTTAGCACCACCGGCCCCTCATCGCCCACACAGACAGTATCTTCAATTCGTATTCCCATGCCCCGGAAGTGTTTTGGCCATTGCACGTCGTCAGGGACGTACACGCCTCTACCCATACGCCATCAGCTTACAGCAACCTCAACCAACCAACCCGCTCGCTAACAGGCATTATTGGAAGGGAGACCTACGGCTCAACAGTAACACACTGCCCAGCCCGCAACTTCCCGCTTTTGGAGTAACTTCCGCAATCGTGAATATCCAACCCGACGTAATGTCCCACATGATGGGGGAAAAGCACGCTGCGCAACCGAGAGGAAGTCAGGTCGAAACCGAGTCTTTTCAGTTCGGACTCCAGCTCCATTTCTGATACTTCGTGGACCTCGTCGAGTGACACGCGAGCACCCTCATGACAAAGGGATACACATCGCTTTTGCACATTCAAGACGGCTTGGTAAAGATCCTTTTGTGCTGGAGTGAAGGTTCCCGAGACGGGCCAAGTGCGAGTTATGTCTGTGACATAGCCCCCGTATTGCTATGGTCATTAGTGGGATGGGTGCAACGGCAGGGCTAGGGGACCGTACTCCGCCAGCATCAACAAGAACAAGGTCGGATTCCCTGAAATATTTCAGCACGAGTGAAACAGATCGACAGAGTAGAACAAACCCCAATTTATCGTCATTCCTAGTATAGTGAATGTGCAACGAGTTCTAAACACATCAGCGTGCGAAGGCACAGCAGAAGGAGAAGCGAACCTGCCCGCCCGCAACAACAGGTACATACGCCTCCTTCTCACAACCACCGATCCGAAACTTGTATTCCAGGAACGCCCAGAGATCGCGTTCCATGGTAAACCGTTCCTTCGCAGCAATTGCCTTATTGAACGCTCTTCCAGATATCTGTCCCGCCTTCCGCATGTTTGATAGTTCCGCCCCGCTCTTAAAAACCCGTAACTTGTGCATAAAGCACTTTAACGGCAGGACCCTTCTGTCTTGAAGCATCTGCGCCAAAGATCCCGGTGCAGCTGTTGGCGGTGGGGCAATCAACCTTGCAAATCCAGAAGTTTTTCCAGCTGGTAGGGTAGCATCCGTATATACCGTGCTCGCCCGTTCGAGTATAGGGCGTAAATGATGTTCAGCATGTTCGATATCCCCCGCCTGATCCATTAGCCAATCCCATTAGAACTCCCAAGAAGCAAGACTAAAAACCTCATCTGCGTTAAACATATCTAGAGCGGCTTGAACCCCAGATCTCGGACCATCCCATAACTCAGCATTGCTATCTTTCCCCCGAACAAACAGATGAAAGGTATGTTGGCCACTCCCAACCGGCCCCGTCTTTTCTTCGCCTGATTAGCATCCCTCCCACCGCTACAAGGCCCAACACAGCACCGCATACATACCGATAACACACAAAGCCTCCGGCTCCAGGAACCCCGTCAGGTAGAGAAAGTCCGGGTTCTGGTGAAACGGGTAAAACACCGGTCCAGAACGATACCTAACATATGCAGCCGGCACAACCGCTACAGCGCCGTCGGGAAGTTCGGATGCAAGCTTTGCCCTACGCGTGGCGTACTCAAGGGCTGAGATTCCGGGAGTGACTGTGACGGTCAGCTTCGTTCGGTGCCAAAGGGTAGCTGTGATAGCTATGGGAGAGAAGTCGAATTGTAATTACCCTCACCGGCTTTGAGTGACCAAGGGTGCGTCTCAAAACCAGGCTGTCCGAATTTCGTCTGTAATAGGGCCGAGTAAAACCTTCGTGGTGTCGCGATGGAAGGGCCCCGTGGCACAAGGGCACAGAGGCGACGGAGTATCATGGCACAGTAGTTGCGAGAAGGCAATGGAGGGGATCCCTAGGAACGCCTGGTAAACTTACGAACCAAGTTTTTTCTCACCTTGTTTTGTCTCACAACTGTCTTGTTTTTTTTTTGTCTTTGTTTTTCATCCGACAAGGAGCAGAGCCGCATTACGCATTCCCGGTGTGGAAGGGTACAGGATTACTGGGTTGAGATTTTATTTTCCGGGTGTCTTGGCATTCAAGATTTTCTGTATTAGATGTAGGATACTCATAAAGTATTCGGACACTCTGCGCCCAGACAACCACGAGGTGTCCGGATACTTTATAAATGGTCAAGTAGAGAGAGGCTCTTGTCCTTCTTGTTTATCTAAATTAGGTTCTGTTTCCTCCTTTCCTTTTTCCAACACCAAGTAGTATACGGTAATATACTCGTACTATCCCTTGGGGGGGTTAGAAACGGTAAAATTCGTAGCCAGGCACAGAAGCGCTGTTTTAGGAGGCACTCGAATATTGTGATTCGTTGGAAATTAACGGTTGCTAAGGTGCCGAGTCATTTGAACCCCAAAAATGCGAAATCCATAGCCCGAAATAGATAACGGCCTACGGTACCGATCTGGAGTGAGTGTCCCGGCCTGTAGATACATAACATTCTTTTTCAATTATTGTGCCTGGCTACGAATTTTACTGTTTCTGACTGGATAACCGTTTTCCATCAGTTTCCCATACAAGCAATCTATCCCGTGGTATACCATAATTATTATAACCGAGGTCAAGTCCCCCCCCCATAGGTGCAAGCCTGGTCGAACACTCCATTTCAATCCTCAAAAGCCAATCAAGATACCCCCGCAGCCGGTGATCTGAAATGGATTAATGTTCAACTCCAATTAACAAAATACTCTTACAACTGCCCACAGTTATATTCACGTTAGTCAAATTTGAACTACAGATTTCAGGTTTACTTAGGGCCTGTCCAGTATGTCAAAAATACTATGGTACAGCATCTTATTTTAGCTTACAAGCTATCTTCATGAAATACCAGTACCGTAGTACTTTCTTATTGGTATGTGCCAAAAAAAGGCCCAAGACAGATAGTTTGAGGTACTCAACCCAGAGTCCAGGACAGGAGGACCCAAGTGATGCAGACAAGTTAGGTTCAGAATAAAGGAATAATCTTATAGTATGGAATTTTAAAGGTTACAAAGAGTGAAAACTCTGATCTTCCCCCCACATCCATCCTGCAGAGAGAGACGGAAGGCTGGGGACAGAAGCGTTCAGGTCCCGGACCGCGGTGTGTCTGGAAACCTTAGGGCCTTCGGAAAGAGCCAAAGACCACTTCACCAGAACAAGGAGGGGAAACGGTCTTCACATTCTACGTACTATGAGGATGTATCATCATCACTGTCATCATCAGCATCATATAGTGCCCCTCTCCCCGCAGATTACCAAAGCACTCACTCACCCACACTAGCCACCTTTTCCCCAGGTTCCCGTGCACAAACATTGCCACCAGAGGACTAATTTTTCTAACTTCACTCCCCCATCCGAATGCACCCCCAGCCCCGGACTCTCCTAGAAACCAAAAATTAATCCATCACCATCGCGAGTCATGATACCATTGCCCACGAAATATCCCCTCTCCATTATCTTTCAAACAGTTACCGAGTGATATTTTGTGTCCCTACTCACTTCACCCTTCATTCCCAAAGATGACTCTCGGTACTGAAAAACCAGTTTTCTCGCCCAATACCTGGGTCTATCACTAGGGATTACTGGCCAGTGTTTTTTTTTCTTTTTTCTTTTCTTTTTTTCCTTAGGTAGTATGCAGGAAGGTGGGAATGGAAAGGAACAGGACGGAATGCAGTTACCAGGTGTGTGGATCTTGGCGGTGGAGTGGAGTGATTTTCCATGACGCCTACTGCGATCTTGTTGTTGGCGGTCGTGACTATGGTATTGTATTGGTGATTTTGGGTGGTTACTTTTACGTTTGTTTGTTTCCTTGCTTGCTAGCTCGTTTGTGAAAGATTTCTTACATCACGTGCCAGGGCAGGTTGCTTTTATAGTACGAAAATTGGATTCGACCAAGAAATTTCTGGTGGTTAGCGCATGGCAGTTGGGGCGCTCTTCGGTTTGGATGCTGCCGATTTATGCATACTCATGGATGGTATGCATATCACTCTCTGGTTTATCATAGCCTACCGGTATATACCGTTGACGAAACACAATCCCGAAAGCCAGCGTTACGGATCCGGCATTGGCCGTGTGCGATATGGGTTTTCGGGGATTAGATTCATTACGGTAGCGCGAGGCATGATATTACTCATGGTGGGCTGTACTCAAGCATAGTACTGTACAGTACCGTACTCGTACCGCACACTGCGCACAGTGCTTGTACTCGTACTAGCACTCTATAGTAGCGATCCGGAGCTGTCGCACAGGCTGATATCGTTATGCAAGTCTTGGAATTAGGCAATCTAACAACGGAAGTGTAAGGCCGTACGTACGGTACCTGATTGCATTGTCCAACGTGGTACCGTTCTTCCGCAAAAGTTGCCAATTCAATAGGATACGGTAGAATGGTCCGCGACTGCGGTACCGTGCAGCACGGTACTTTCTTCTCCTACCGTTTTGGGGAACAAGCGCGCAAACGTGGTGCGGTACGGTATGGATCACTCCTCGCTGAAAGGCCGGAGTCCTGGAAGAAGCCTCGCGAACCTCATCCAAGGAACAGATACTCGCATACATATAGCATACGGTGGCACGAGTACAGTAAAACAATTTACTATCCTGTCCGCGATAGCCAATCACGAAACATCCCCAAGTATCCGACAAGCTGAACTTTAGCTGACCCGTGACCCTTCTTTTTTCCCCTTTTCCCTTTCCACTCCACTGCGGGTCTGCCGATGCTTTCCATGCTTTTAGGCTGACCAATAAATCACATACTGGTATCACAACATAACATACCGGTATCATGCAACCGTCCCGCGGCCGAACCCGTAGAGAGGAAAAGAGAGCGGAAAGAAGGGAAGGAAAATAAGATTCGGTTCCTGCATCCGACTTGATGGTGATGAGAGTATCGCGAGACACGTGGATCTCACCATGTCCTCGTTGGGGGAGGGAGGAGACCCATCGTGTGGTATGCGGGAATCTAGGGTGCATGCTTACCGACCACAAGGAGTATAAAAGTGGAAGCACAGTACGAGGAGACTAACCGTGGTATCCGGAAAAGTCCGTCATGTGTTGGCACCATATCCCCCAACCAGCTGGCCAGTCAGGGGAGAGATTTTAGCTTGGGTGATACCAGCACTTGGCGGGGGGGGAGGGGGGGGGCAGAAGGCGGGGTGGTTTGTTTGGTTCGTGGTTCGAGCAACTTATAAATAACCGAGATCGTCACCCGTTGGTGTTGCTCCTCAGTGAGCGAGGAATGACGGGCGAATGGGCGAGTCATATGGATTTAAGTAGACGGCGGCCGTGAAAGGAGGGGGGGGGGTGGGGGAGGGGGAGAGGCAAAAAATCCCTCTGAACTCCGGGGAACAATTGAATCGGCTTGGGGGACAAGACGGTGGAGCAGAAGAAGATGCGGATTACCGATGCAAGGTGCGCCTGGAGGTGGTACCGGTATCGATGATGATGAAGTGATGTTTTGTCCGTATCGGACCAGTCGGAGCGATCCTGTAAGATTGGCGGTTGGGTGTGTGTGGGCTTGTGCTATGATAAGAGCTTTACCGGTAAACTGAGTGCATATCCACCGGACAAATAGCGACGGAAGAGTCTCACAGGGGGGTAAGTTACCGCACGGTTCCGGCACCTTAGAACCTACCGCCAAACAACCACGAATTTTTACAACTCGTGACAACGACGCATACGAATGGAATATTAAAAATCCCTTCCATAGGGTTCCTCCAATTGATCATTAGAAGAGGTTTGCCGGGCGGTTCGCTTTTCGGTCTTCGGCTGGTGCTGTAGGGGTCTTCAAAGTTTGTACGAGTATGGGAGAATGGAGAAACTTGCGCGGGGAAAAAAAACGTATCGTCCTAGATTCAGCTCGAGAGCGAAGGTATTCTAAGGTGCAGGCACCACTTGTTCTGGAGAACGACAAGCTGATTGGATGATTTTTATTCTTGTCGGTTGGTGGATTGGTACCTGTACCGGTGCAGTACGGGAGATGCACATGCGAGTTAAGTTGTCGCATCTTGCAGTACGGTACTGGGCGGTGCGAGCGCAGCCGTGAGAATACTTGTATTGGCTGCATGGTCCCGCTCACTGCCATAGTTGCGCTCCATCTTCTTACCGGTATCGTGTTCGTGTGCCTGTTGAAAGGTATCGATCAGGGAGGGAAGGAGTAAAGTGCTATTCACAAGTTTTACCGCAAGGGGGTGAAATGGGGGACTCGAGCGACGAGAATTGTTCGTCACGGGGAGCTCCGCTCTCTGGGTAAAGTGGCAAGGAGTCAGGGCCCAGCGCTGGGACCGCCCTGTCCCTTCATTTCGTTTGGGACCGTGGCCCTGGCATTCATTGAGGAATACCGCTACCGGTATTCCACAATCTTCTTGGACCGTGTTGAATTGCCCACTGGTAACTATTCTGGCCAATTTTTCCTCTTTTTTCCCCCCAATTCTTTCACCCCATTCAACACAGGGCGCCCTTCCGAACGGAGTACGTGCAGGAGAAGCAGTCTGCGGTACTTGTGTCTTGGTGCTGTGACAAATCACTCCAGTACTTGTACCAAGTCGTTGAGTCCGACCGTCATGCCGGCACCGCTGTAGCACAGATACAGTACTACCGTAAGTTACTGTACTCGAGTACCGTACCTGAGGGAAAAAAGTTTCTTTTTCCTTTCTCGGCGCGAGCCAGGAAGAGTTTTCTTCTTTCTTTCTTTCTTTCCACTTCCATTTTTCCGTTTTCCTTGTCCCACTGGCGCGAGATCGGATCCCGGTTGGCTTGGGAGGCTTTTCCGTAAGTCAGCACGGGAACGCGTGGCGGCGGGAGGCTGGAGCGAAGGTCGCTCTGGCAGTCGCACAGGGGAAAAAGGGGGAGGGGACGCCCACTGCGTCCTGATTTTACTTTGTGTTTGTCCCTCTTACCGGTATCCGATGTTTGTCCGTCTGTCGAGACCCTTCCGTTTCTCAGGCGTGTACTTGTAAAGAGCTGGATCCCAGTCCGAAAGAAAGCCATCATACTCGAGGGATGTTACCGGGGCATTGCAAATTGGCCGTACAAAGTATTTTGAAAATGAAATAAAATTGAACAAAGAAGAAGGGAAAAAAGGCTCAGATGGATATACGAGTACCGGTAACGGTTTGTCTGGGATTGTACCAGTACCCGAGTAGGCAAGTGTTGCCAATTATGTTGAAGCTTGTTCGTCCTGAAACGCGAGTGGACGGGGGGAGAGTGAAGGGGCATCACTCCTGCGATGGTAGATTACTCTGCCGGCATTCTGAGCCAGTGGGCCAAGCCATTCGACGAATTCGATTACGGCGCGCTTGAGCAATTAAAGTGCTTGCCTCGGGGCAGGATATCAATGCCTAGCCGTACTCGACAAAAGTGCTGGTACGAGTATATAGTGTGCCGGTATGATACCCTGTTAACCCATTAAATCCACCACCTCTATCTCGAGCCACCCCTCTTGGCTCCAGAGAAGGATTAGCGTCTTCCTGACACGGCATAGGATCGGCGTGCGGGATGTGTTGGATCCCGTTAACCGGTAACCGTAACCGCAATTCCGCTAAGCCGTCAAGCTGAACCCTCTCAGTAACTTTGACCGGGGGATCCGGGGATTTAAGCACTGCCTGAGATGGTGCATTTAACCAGTAAATACGGGCACAGCACTGGAACACGCTATTGGCTCGCTATGTGCGGTGTTGGCATGATACCTGTATGCACTGGTCTGCGGCGGAGGGTACCCTACTCGAACGAGTACCGCACGGTATTCGAGCACAGTACGAGTACGGTACTCGAGTATCCGAGTGACTTGGGCACCTTCCGCCTAACCGTTTATCAAGTGAATTCCGGCATCTCATCTGGCGAGGGAGGGGGTGAGGGAGGGAGAGGTCCACAGGCTACGATCAACGTCGGCTCGTCCTCTGTCCTTGCGATCGGGTGGAGGGGGAGCGAAGCTTTCTGACGAGAGGCCATCACAGACATCGAATGGTAATGCAGAGAGATACAGTACGGATAGGGTTTGAGCTCATCTCGGGAAAAAAACAAATTTGGCCACATTGGTGTGTCCAGGGATCAGGATGCACCGTCGAATCGCCGCATCCGATCAGGGCGCTGTCCGGTACCAGGGGCCGAGGCGACGAATTGCGTGGCAACGGCCGCCACGCAAAAGGTGGGTGGATGAGATGTTCAGGAACAGGAACCGGGATGCAGGTACGAATACAGTACAAGTACAGCACACAATATCGGCACGGCAGCGCATGTAATAACGATGATGATGCTGATAGTAATAACGATACCGGTAATGGTACGAGTAATAGGGAGCGAAAGGGAATGGAGAGAGAAGCAAACACAATGTCGTGCAGCTGCTCGGGTACAGTAGTGAACTCTCGGATGGGGGAGAGGATGAATTTTTTTTTTCACGAGGGGAACCGTACTGCGGGCACTCGGATACAGACTCCGTACAAAGAAGCCCATATCGTGCATCGTTACTTGCACTTGCTGTGGGGTGTGAGCACAGGTCTGTCCAATTTTTTTGTTCATTCGTCGAGATTGCTGTGCTGCGCTATGTGTGTAACCCCCTTTTCCCGGCTGTCGGACCAATCTGTCGTGATCTTTGGTGAAGGGAAGCTCTCGTCCAGTGGCCAGAGAGAATCCCACTCTCTGGGGAGGGAGGCCACTGGGCCAACTGCCGGTAGAGGAGCCTGACAGACTTGCCCTTGATGCCCTCCACTCTACCCGTGCTGCACTCGAGTACCTGTCGTCGTTTGATGGTTGGAACCCTGATCATTGCTCCCCCCTATTACCCTTCTCGCTCGTTGCAATAGAATGGACTGCCATAGCGGACAAGCCCACCGCGTTACATGAAACACAAGCGCTCCACAAAGAGTGAAGGGGTTGCTGTGCCAGTCCATCTCGCTCGATTCCTGTGGCCATTATTGGTCGAGCTGTTCAGGTTGATTTGTCTTGTCGGGTGTGTGCTTTCTTCTCCAGTTGCCCTCCCCCCCCCGCCTGCTTCTCGGGCCCTTTTTTCTTTTTTCTTTCCTTTTTTTCCATTGTCACCCTAACCCCCCCCCTCCTTTCAATTTACTTCCCGCGCGGCTCAGCTTTGGTACAAGAACCAAGCCCTTCCTTCCTTCAGAAAACTCACCGGTGACCCTTTCCCTCCATTCACCTCCGCTCTCTCTGCTCCTGTCCTTCGCTCCCTTACTTTCTTGTGATATTCTTTTCCCCCATTCGTTTCGTTCCAAGCACGCTC